ATATATATATAATATGCACACTCTTAAACAGGAGCTTGTCACATGTTACTTGAAAATATTTTTCATTACAAATATGAGAAAACATGCTGTTACACTGCAAACACCTTTTAAGGTATATGATTATCAGGTCCAGATTTAATCAAAACTATTATATACAATCAAAATGTTAGAAACTTTTCCTGAGAGCTAATGTTTATGTCTAATAGAAAAGTTCCATAAGGTACCAGACTTGAACATTTGGATTGGACTGTAGTTTGAAATCGTGATTTAATATGTGTTATCATACTGTATATTGCTGGTAATTTGAATTCAGGCATCTTTGAAAAAATTTTAGAAATAAATATTTATGACAAAATTTTCAAAGCATGACACGTAAAATCCTTAAGATCTTGAAGGGAAAAAACTCCTAGATCATTCTGTAATTAATAAAGTTGTACCTCTTATTAAGTTTAGGTATGTTTTGTGGGGTGGGCGTTAATATTTTGGGTGCAAAGTAATCAAACATGCTGTGGACTGCTTTAGCACAGGCTTTTGGCTAAAGGGAATAAACACAGACACCACAACACATTGGATCACTTTATTGGGATCAGAATGGTAAAAGGACTAGTCTGATATTGTTAAAATGACTGTGAGGAAACAGCATTTTATTCATGACACCAACAGTAGTGTCACATTGCATTTAGGCAGATATGAAATGAAATCAGCAGATTGGTAAACCTCAAGGCATATATGTTACTAATTTTTAAATGTTATTATTTGCTTAATTTAACCGTCTACTATATATGTACATTGGTTACAGAATTTTTGGAAGATTGGATTCTATACTATATTTCTAAATACAGATCCTATTCCAACCATTTATTATCACTGTCTCTAAATTGCTGTTTCAGACACACCCTCACAGTACTTAAATATGAACTGCCGGTAAATTAAGGGAGTTTGTTTTCTTCTTCTGATAACTGAAACAATTCAACTTAACATAAAATTCACAGGTACTGTATGACTGTATTATAAGGATGGCTACATATTTAAACAATATGTCAAAAAAAATTACAAGACAAAATGTCATTAACTATATTTCTACAGTCTAGAGTCTTTATTTATCCACAATGTGCCTCCTAAGCAGCTATCACTGAAGCAAGTAAATCAGATTCCTTTTTTAAATAGAACTAACATTTTCGACTGAAAACAATGACGAAGAAATTGCTGGATAGTCAAAGAAACAACATTTTTATTCATGGAAACAAAGCCAAGATCAATCAGATCAATTTAAAGGTAAAATCAATTAAAAACTGTACTTCATAAATGAAGCACAACATAAGAAAAACTAAAGAGGAAATATTAAATCCAGTTAAATTGTAGGTTTAACATTTGTGATTTTGTAATGTTGGGTCAAATTCTTTCACAACTTTTAACTAAGCATTCTTTAATATCAATATTTGTAGAAAGATTTGGACTACTAAAAATACAGAGAACATAGATGAAAAGGTACTGCACATGTGTATGGAAAATTAGGTGTTTTTCAAATAAAAAGAAGAGCCCTTATGTAAGATTCCCTTTGTATGTGTGCATGCAATTGATGGAAATGCTCCTGGAAACACAAAAAGCACTTGCTAGGCAGAGAGCAATGGTCTAACTCTGCTGTTCTGTCACTAGTTAAATGAAGCATGCACTTAAAAAGAGCATAGACCCTTTTAAAGCCATCTCATTATATTAGCGTTCACTGAAGGATCTTACCAGCCCAGAAGCAAAGAATACTGTCAGCAGAGCAAGGCAGGCTCCCATCACAATCAGAAGCAGAAAGACTATCAGAGGGTGCTGCTGGCTCATGCAGTAGTATGACTCGTAGAGCCAGTCTGTAGACTTCTGTTTACCCCTGGTATTCTCAGTCCTATCCAGCAAATAGCGTCTCCTTCTCATTGCTTCTCGCCACATGGAAACTGGTGTGGAGTAGTCTGCCTTATCCCCCTGTTTTGTTTTTATACCCTCACTTAGTTCATTTGAATTCAGTGAACCTCTGTGCATCCGATATGTGGGTAAAAAAGCTTGAAATGTAGTCCGTAGCATTGTTCAGGCAACATGTTAAGCTGGAATGAAGTGAGTGACTGAGGGAGAGACGGAGAAAGACAGAGAGGGAGGGAGAAAGGCAGGGAGAGAGAGGGGAGAGAGCTACAGAGAGGAGGGAGAGAAAGAAGGGGGAGGCAGAGGGGAGAGAGTTTACTATAGCTGCACTAATGTATTATGCACAGCAGAAATTACTTGTTCTAGCACTGACTAAGTGCTTTCATTCTTAAAAAAAATCCTCATTTTTTAAGTTTTCATTAAGCAGTGCACTGGAGATTTTTCTGCAGTCATCCTGAAGATACAGGTTCTAATTTGCATTTTATTTATACATATACCACATTCTTCTTAATTCTCTGCTTTCATATAAATTTATTTTGCATTGTTTTCTGCATATTGCCATTCCAAGAAGAATAAATCCAGAAAGCTTGGTTTATTTTCTCTTTCATATTCACATTTCTTTTTCCTGTATGATGGAGATCAACCAGTCTAATCCTGTGTCTTGGGAATTGTTGCAAGTCCGCTCATTCTGCTCATTGTAAGGAGTCATGCAAAGCTGATTAGAGACACGGTCGCACCAAATGTTTAAAAAATGTGTAAATAAGAAAATCAGATAAGTTCAACCCCTGCACCATTATGTAGTCCTATGATGATTTTGAAATTCATATTTTTTTAATATTGACAAAAAATTGTCAGTCATTATTTAAGCCTGGTGCTCCTGCTATTCCTGGCTCAGCATTGGGAGATGGACGCCCGGAAGCCTGCCTACCAGTGGGTCCAGAAGAGACCCGATGGCACAGGCTTCACCACGGCGTCCTGACCATTTGAGTCTGGGGCTTAGAACACCTGGCCTCGTTACCCTGGTTTTATTCCCTGTTCCTGTTCCAGATCCCGTTCTGGATTTTAACCTTGTTTGTCTCATCTTGGATGGAACCCCTGGTTGCTGGATTCTGGACTGTGCCCCGGATTTCCCCTTTGGACTGTTTGAACTAGTTTGCTATCGCCATGCCCCCGAACACCGGATCACTGCTGTCACGCCGCCATGTCTGTCAACTCATCCTGATCCTCTAAGTCTCTTCCCTGTTGTCCTTCTCCACTTACTTCCAGATTATACTGTCTGCATAGGGTCCTGAACTACGCTTCACGGGAGCCTGGACCAACACTTCTGCATGAAAATGATTCAATGAGCTGATATGCATTTATCTAGTCATTCAAATAGACTGAACATATACACAACATTTGGTGTGCAGTATCAGATATATGAAACTCGGTGTCTGAATACATAAGAACCTCTTCGATTGTATCAATTTTAAAATTTGCATAAACACGTATACTTTATCTTTTAATGTAGAATGTAGTTTTACTTTACTTTTATTGAGTTAATTTACTGTGCAGTGGTTAGCATTTTTGCCTTACAGCACTGGGTTCAATTCCTGGGGTGCTATCTATGTAGAGTTTATATATTCTCTCGTGTTCATGTGGGTTTCTTCTGGGTACTCTGGTTTCCTCCCACAGTCTAAAGATATACTGGTAGGTTATTTGGATTTTGGGAAAACTGCCCCTTGTGTGAGTGTGTGCATGTTTGTTTCTGTCTGTCCTGTGATGGACAGGCATTCTGTCCAGGGTGGATCCTGCCTTGTACTTGTTGCTTGCTGGGATAGTCTCCAGCTCCCGCCGACACAGAATTTATAAAGCAGTTACAAAATTGATGGATGGTTGGAATTTCTTGTGCATGTTTCATTTTTGAACATTGAAACACAAACCAGAGGACACAAGTGGAACCTCTCCTTCAAAAGGGTGCATTTCAAACTCAGATTCAGACTATGTTTCTGATAATGCACATAAAAAAATATGTATTCTGTATTCTAAGAAATTTGCTATTTTAAAAGTAAAAACATAATATAACCAAAGCAAAATGGAAGGAATAAGCACAAAAAAGTCTGTATGGGTCTTTATTATAAATCTGAAAGGAGCTCTTCTCTAGCCTTTTTGATACATGTAGGTGTAAATAGCTGAAACTCAAGTGAAATCTGACCATTTAGAGATTTTGGGTAAGTTTATACAGTTGGTGTTCAGAGCTAAGCCATAGTGTTATCTGTTTCCCTTTGTTTGTCTCCCTGTAAACCAAGTGAAGATCAAGCAAATTTGTATGTGTCTGTAGCACTGCCTGTAACTCAACAGCAACAAAAACAACAATTATTTACCTTCTATCATTTAACTTGTTATGAATGTGTTTTATTTTGGAATGCTAAGAAAATAATGTCAGGACCTGGCTTTATAAAACCTCAGGCAGAATTTTCTGCCTTTGTTCTATCAGTCTCATATTTTTATATAAGTGGTAGGCATAATTGGACAAGCCCCGGAAAAAAATACCATCCTAGTTGTCTTAAAACTCAAAACTGACTTTTGAACAAAGAAAATATTATTTTTTCCATTTTTGTTTAAGATATTTATTTTTAGTGTGTACTGAGTAAGACAAAACAATCTGATGGTTCAGACTTGATGCCCTAGGGGTGACCTTGATGCCCTAGGGGTGATCTCTAAACCAGGCCTCTTCTGTCTATACTTTGCAAGATAAAGCAGGATGTTTTAAGTCACATCCATCCAGGCAGAAATAGCCTTTGGAGGGCTGGGGCTGAAAAGGTTATTTTACAGTATGTTCTTTCTTTTTACTTCTGTTATGTTTGTTATATGCATAATACTGTACAATGCTTTCAGAGATTGTTTTATAAAAACACCTACCATTTTACTTATATTTTTCTTGCTTCTTGCTACTGAAAGCTAAAACATACAGTATATAAAATACACAATATAATTTACTATAGAGTGAATAAGAGAGTTTCAGATCAAAGTGGTCAAAGTCCACTTCACATACCAGTGCATTGCATATAATATTTCAATTGTTTCAATACAAATAAAAGTTAAGTTTGCAGCATATATTGTTACAATTAAAATAAACTCCAAACAACTGTACTGTTCTAGTATGCACAGAAAACATTTGTTTTTAACATTTTTCTAACCAAGCACAGAAAATGAACAGAAATAATTATATAGCATGTATGTTACAAGATTTAGTTGTAGTCCATAGAGAATAGCTGCATTTGTTTTGGTACTGAAGCATGAAGTGTTAACTGTGAATGAAGCCTTTATCACCAAATTAAATAATTCATTATCATAACGCTAACCATAAGAAACTTTTGATTATTTTCAAAGCTCAGTTTTTAGTTAGATGCTCAAAAATCAATTTAAAGCATGCAGTGACAAGCTCTATTTTGTTTTATTTAGTGCTGCTGCAACATAATCTCAATGACAAGTGAGTTGACAGAATAAGTGTACAGTGGTTTTGAAAGACACACTGTTCTTTTCCTCTTCGATAGATTTACTATGGAATATATCACAGGAAAGCACAGTAAGGCATTTGAAATCATTGACTTGCCCAATGAACGGACTGTAAATTGTACGTAAGCATTTTAATTTGTATAACTTTATATTATGCGGTGTACCCTTATTTAATTGATTTAATTTAATATTTTAAATAAAGGTCAACGAAAGAATATTGAAACTGTGAACAAAAAATCTAATCAAATATTTAGGATATATTTTTAGTTTGAAATGTGACATTTTCATAATGACAAAGTTAGTATTATGTGTGCAAAGGAACAAGGAATAGGTTTATTCCATGTTGAAAAAAAGAAGAAAGAGAGCACAAAGTTTCGGCTGTGGAGCCTACTTCAGGAAGGCTCCACGGTCGAAACGTTGTGTTCTCTTTCTTCTTTTTTTCAGCAGGTAATAAACCTATTACTTGTTCCTTTGCAGCCTACGCATGCTGACACAGCTACCCACCTGTAGTATTATGTATGACCTCCCAAAGACTGAGACAATCCTTAGACTAATGACATACACTTCATTTCAAGCCAGTCTTCTGAATTATGGTCTGCCACTGTTCTTCCTACATCTCTAATGCATCTTGAATCAGTATTAATTTATCTTTTAACATCTGACCAGTGTGAAGTATTTTAACATTTAGCTTTTCGAACACAACTATTAAACAAAGTTTAAAAAACAAAACAAAAACTAATATTTATAACTGCTATATACAAATAGGGTGAGTTCTTACTGCCCAGCATTCTACATGCAACTTTTCCTTCTAGATCTCTAACATTGGTAACTCGAATGCACTTAGAGTTAGAGAGGAATATTTGTAATAGTAAGACCACTTTCATTAAATATTTGTATTTATATATTTATATAAACTCTGCCTGGTGGATTTGAAAAGAAATCTGAAAAATTCCCCAAAACAAAAAGATAAAACTAATTAAGTTTGTTTGCCTTCAATGTCCAATACCCGTGATCTAAGCGACTTTGACCGTGGTATGATTGTTGGTGCCAAATTTGGTGGTTCCAGCTTCTCAGAAATAGCTGACCTCCTGGGATTTTTCACGCATTACATTGTCTAGAGTTTACAGAGAATGGTGCGATTAACAGAAAATTAACAGTGACCGGCAGTTCTGTGGGTGAAAACACCTTGTTAATGAGAGAGGTCAGAGGAGAATGGCCAGTCTCGTTCAAGCTGACAGAAAGGGCACAAATACTCAAGTAACCACTCTTTACAACAGTGGGCATCTCTGAATGTACAATGCGTAGAACCTGATGGGCTACAGCAGCAGAAGACTATACCGGGTTCCACTCCTGTCAGCTAAGAACAGGAAAATGAAACTACATGGCGACGTGATCACCAAAACTAGATGATTGAAGATTGGAAAAAACGCCACCTGGTCTGACAAATCTCGATTTCTGCTGTGACTTGCAGATGGCATGGTCAGAATTTGGCGTAAACAGCATGGATCCATCCTGCGTTGTGTCAACGGTACAGGCTGGTGATGGTGGTGTAATGATGTGGGAAATGTTTTCTTGGCACACATTAGACCCCTTAATACCAATTTAGCATCGTTTTAATGCCACAGCATACCTAAGCATTGTTGCTGACCATGTGCATCCCTTTATGGCCACAGTTTACCCATTTTCAAATGG